GATGAAAATCATCTAATTTTGTTCGCAATTTTTTTGTTTCACTTTTATATAAACGATTTTCTTCATTCGTATTTATTGATCTTTTCTTGTATTCACGGATGTACATATACAATTTTTCAATAACTGGTTTTAATGCTACTGTCTGTAGACTAATATCTTCATAATGACTACGTAAAACGGTGATAATTTTCATCGTTTGTTCAAACCGTTCTTCAATTAAACGTAATTTAATTAATTGTTCATTTATATCAGAAAATTGATCATGAAGACGTTGAATTGCTTTTGCCCATTTTTCACTTGTTTCGGATGACTAATTTGAAAAAGGTAGAACAAACTATCATCTGTGTAGAAACAAGAAGATTAACTTAAGATATCTTCTAAACATGTTGTCTGCAAACTTCTTGGCAGAATTTGCATAGAATCTGCAATGATCTGTTTCAGATCTGTATTGCAAAAATATTCCTTCATTCAAAAAACTATTTCAGAAAAAGAATAAATATCGGATCCTACCGAAATTTTCACCGATTGCTACTCCAATCAAAGTACATTCATAGTAAAAGTCGAACTCAAAATGTTGAGTTTTTCCTCAATTATCCTAGATGCAAAGGTTAAAAGGTGTTATCCACAACCCATATTAACTATCACGCTGAACTCATGCCAAACAGCGGAGTTCTAAGACTCCTCTAGGATCATGTCGCGCCAGAAACGTTTATCGTAAGTCAGGGCTAATATGCTTAGAAAATAAGATTCTGGCGTCCATAGTGGAACTTCTTATAACCAAGATCTTGGTAATGGTTGAACTACCGTTTTGTTTCACGCTTTTCCTCACACATAACAGCAAAAAATTGTCATACTGAGAATAACTTGAAAATTTTTCAAGGAAATCAAGGATGAGCCTGTGGTCACATATGATTGTATGTCCAATGGTTATGGCTGTCACATAAGAAAGAAAATGTAAAAAAGGTTGCATTACAATACTTTGAAACAATTTGACTCGATTCACTTAATATCTTGAACTTTCTGTTCCCATGGTCTTGAGTGTAAGATTCAAGATCTTGACTTCTTGATCTTTTTTACAAGATCTTGTGACATTCTTAATCCAACATCTTTGGCAAGATCTTAGGTACAAGAAGTTTCACTGGGAGTGATCGCAATGCGACAGCTTGCAGAGCTACTGCGCGACTGACGCGAAACCATAGCGATCGCGCCACGAGTTCGGCGGGAAAGTTGATTTGGAAAGACTCCTCAATTTCATGCCTTAGAAATGCTGAAGTGATGTTACCCTAGAGAACATACTTGGGATCAAATACTTTGTCTGCGTAATGAAGTCGGTACTTGCCTTTTTCAAGAAGTAAATGTACTTGTAAGTACTTGTTCTTACTTGCTAAGTACTTTCATAAAGCACTCCTTAGCAGTAAGGCAAGTATTTCGATCATTCACCAGTACTTAGCAAGTAACCAAGTACTTGCATCAAGTACGTTCTCTAGGGTAAACTAACGAGAAACGCGACACTAGGACGTTGAAAAGTTCGATTTTTAAAATTTTTGTGCCTTTAATGGTTCCCTAATGTTTTATCTCATAACTTTTACTCATACCATCTCTCAGAGATGGAAGACGTTTCTTTTTAATCACAAATGTATGCTTTACAGCCTGGCATAATTCAAAACATTCCTGAGAAAACCTTCGAAGAAGTCCAACCCAGCATATATTTCGATAGTGGACATAACTGTCTTACTTTTCTAACGAGTGTTTGGAAACATTCACCCAATATTGCTAGTTTTCGTTTACATATTTTCCCTTCATCTATTGATTGTATCATCTAAAATAATCACATCAACAACATTTTCTGAAACTGTTTAAATAAATCATTCTTATAACCTTTTCTGTGTTTTCGGCTTCAAGTATTTCAGCTTGTTCACGATCATAACGATACTTTTCTAGTTTATCATTAAGTATTTTATTTTCATTTTGTAATAATTCAAAATTTTTTGCAGTTGTTGTCAGTTCATTTTCAACTGATGTTAAACGATGTTCTTTGTCAAAATAATTTTCATTTGTATAACGATGATTTTTTTCATACGTGTAATAATCATTTTGTAATGCATGAAATCGATTTGACAATGTTGTTAACTTAAATTTGATAATAGATAATAAATATGAAACATAGGTTAAAGACTAAAATCTTACTTCATCTGTTTTTTCGGTCAATGTTTGTTTTATTGTATGCTCATTTGTTTCATACTGCACAATATTATCGTGCGCTAATGATAAATCTGTTTTAGATCTTTCATAATCAATTTGTAATTTTGATAGAATATGATTGAGTGTTTCTAATTCACGTTGTTGATCGTCAAGACATTTTTCTTTATCGTCTAATGTTGCATTTGATCGACTTAAATTCATTTTAAACTCACATTCCTTGAAACAAAGAATTTTGCTTATTTATTATTAAAATTTATTCTTATAGCATATTTTTACTGTGATGCTGCGAGAATGGACTAGCCTCCGTATTGTTTTGTGTGTCCAAGCACAATGCTCTGTTTTCTTTTTAAACCATATCTTAAATCTTCCTTCTTGAGACACTTTTTAAGGAAAAGAGAAAGTTTATAAAATTGGTATTGGACATGTTTGATTGAAAATTCCAGAAGAGAAGGATTTAATTCACTATTTTATAAAGTGTCTTCTGTTCAGTTAAGAACGTTCGACACTGGAATAAGCTTAGATGATTTGGTTTCTTTTTCATTAGATTTTCTGTTACTTAAGATTTACACTCTGATTAAGGGAAGAGTTTCACCCATTTAGATTTTGTTCAAACTTTGTCAGTTTGTAGAGGATACCTTAAAAGATATATCATGAAATTTTTAGACAAACATTGTCCGAACGAGCTATTGAAATTTTAAAAATTTTCAGGTTATTTTGGCCTTCTTTTAAAAATTTAATAAAATTTCTAACTTTCAATTTTGAAGTTCAAATTTTATGTCATCCGATAGTGCAGATTGAGATATTTATGTGCAAAAGCTTTCATCATTATCGGCTAAGATTTGGCAGAGAAATTTGAAAATCACGTGGAAAATGGGATGTTAACGCAAAAAGTAGGGTATTTCTAGGTTTTATACGCACTTTCTCATCAGAAGGCATTTTTGAGCAAAAGTGTAGGAACAAAAATTTCTTAAGAAAACTCTGTTGCTATTGTGGCACGCCTAAATGAAATATATAAAATTTTTAAAGTTAAAAATACGAAACTGAGGCAGAGCTACGACACCTGACCAAACTTAGTCCTAAAAATAATCTTTTGGCAAGTGAGATGAAAGTGTTGAAGAGACATGAAAAATCAGAGAACATAGGTAAGTCGATGTGCTGAAACGGGTGGCAATATCAAAAAGCCTTGAACAAAATTTCGCTTCAGGGAAGCATTTTGGAAGAAAAGTGTAGGGACAAAAGTTGTTCGGGATCAAATTCTACATGGGACGCGCGAGGGAAGTTTTGAAATTCCTAAAACTCGATTTTTAAATTAAATTATACGGAAATTCTAATTTTTAAAAACAGTATTTTTGAATTTAAAAATCGAGTTTTAGGAATTTCAAAAATACCCATGTAGAATTCGATCTTAAACAACTTTTCTTGCAAAAATGCTTCTATCGTGCAAAACCTTGTTCAGAGCTTTCTTAAATATACTTTTTTGCACCAAAAATGGATTGGGCGAGTCAAATCGAGATTTCTCCGTCGGATTTGACCCAACAAGGATGACATTTTTTCCGTAGATACATCTCGACGTGCTCTATCGAACGGCAACAGATTCAGGATTTTGTGTCGAAAAATTAAAATTTTGAAAATGCAGCAAAAAACCCAGACTTAACTTAAAAAAAGGTTTCTCACAAACTAAAGGCTCGATAACCGAAAAGAATATCGGAATATATATTTCAAAGTGTCGTCTACAAACCATTGGGAAAAAGCCGAGTGGATAGATCCCCCTTAAAGAAGAGAATATTGCTGTTCACAATGCCGTAGTTCAATATATAAAAAATATCAGTCACTTTCGTTGGCTAATAGCTAAACCTGTGATTATGAAAATTTTTTGACAACATGTGCCAGCCACTGCACACATTTTTTGTCATTCACTCAATAGCACTTCTCTCTTTTTCTTTCTTGTGCCTCTTTATTATCTATAGTCGTCATTATATATAGTCGTTTTATCTATCTGTTAAAGTCTTTGTCCACTATCACACAAAGTCAACGCCGGTTATAATAAGTTTTTTGTAACTAACTTGTGTCCTTTAGTTCGTGTGGAGACATATCCCGATCGGAATATTTTTTTTGTAGCAGAAATCTTTTTATATCCTGAACGGGATATAGTCTGAAATTACATCCCGATCAGGATATCAGAAATTTTGATTTCTCAGTTGTAAGAAAATGATAAAGGCGATTATAAATGTCAGGGTGGTTTTGGACCCCAAAACGGGATGTGTATGAGCTTGTAGAGAAACATTTGCTCTATTCAGTGGCGTATATATTGCCGAATCCTAATGTGCACCGTCAGAGAAAATGAAACATAACCCTTCTTTTTTAGAATTTTTTTTATTTTTGAGTTAAATATTGTGTATTATAGAGTAAAGTGTTCTCTATAAAATAAGACCACTCCCAGCTCTCCAAGGTCTTCCGTTCAGGAGATACAAGTTTGTTGCTTTGTTACGCTGGAAAAAGTGGGATTCACTTTTTCCCAGAACGTCGTCATTTTTCCCTTTATCGTTTTTACGACGAAACTTTGTGTCTTATATCTCGATCAGGATATAGGAGGTGTCCCCTTACTGTTAGTGATTTGTCTTTTCTCTGTTAAATGAAGTTTATACCATCACACACTTACTTTGTTGATATATTCTTGATTAAGTAATTTAATATGATTTAATTCTGATTTTAAGGTATCATTTGTCATTAATGAACTTTTCAATTGTAGACGAACATCTTCCAATTGTTTTACTGTGTCTTGATAACGTTTCTGTACATCATCGAGTTGATGAGTTAACAGACTAACTTTTGATGATAACTTTGGAGTTGTTTCAGTTTCATCACACACAACTTTTTCTAAATGTTCGATCTAAGAACAAAAGATATGCAGACAACAAAAAAAAAAATTCCACATGAGTCTTTCGATATTTAACTTTTTCATTATGTCATTTTCTCAGTTGTTACTGGACTATTTCTCAAAACTTATTCATTTATTCGAATTTTCTTTATCTCAGTATAAGAAAGATAAACAAGTGTTTTTTACTAGGATAAATGGTTACCTCTGTTCGATAATTTTTATTTTGCTGTTTACAATCTATTCGTTCATTATTAATTGATGATAAATTTTGATTTAATTCGTCCATTTGTTTTAACAGTTGTATCTCATTCACTTTCAACTCGGCTATTTCACTCGTTAATTTTTCTATTTCCAAAGAATAACGTTTTAATTCATCATCACGATTGAGTTTAACATTTCTCAATTCTGTTTCTGTACGTTCAAAATTATTCATTGCAGAATCTTTCTATTTTTCAAAAAGAAAACATATTTTTAGAATAAATAATTTTATCTTACTAAAAATGATAAATAATTACATGTTCTTGAACGGTACATAATTCTTGTTGTAATAATTTTATTTTATTTTCATGTTCTTCTTCGATTGTTCTTAAACGAGAAATTTCTCGTTCTTGTAAACGAATCTATTCAACAACAAACACATTCATTATTAAATAACATTTTCTTGATGATTTTAATGAAAATACCTCTTCTTTTGCATAATTTGATTTAATTTCAGCTGCATGAAGATTTTCATCATAGCGTATCAGTTGATCTTGTTTTGTATTCAACTTTGAAAACAATAATAAATTTGATTTAATTTATACTTTAGATTTGTTTAACAAACAATTTTTACTTGTTTAGTATATGATTTTTGTACTTGTTGCAATTCTTCTTGTTTTAATCTTAAATCTTCTGTCAACTGTTCTACTTGTTCGGATAAAACATTGTTCGATCGTTCATATTCAACTAAATTTTCAGACATATGACGAATCTAAAGAAGAGATGATACACTTCACTATACGTACATCTGTTTGACAACAGATCAGAGTCAACAAAGAATGATAGCAGACAAAAAAGCAACATCATAACTCACTTCTCGTTGTAATACTTTAATATCATTTTGTGCTTTTATTACATTATCTTCAGCATATTTTTCTCTATGTTGTGTTTTGTTAATCCCGTTTCTAATGTTTCATTTAGAAGAGCAACTTCAGCCGATTTATCAATAACCATTTGTTCTAATTCTTGAATATGATATTGTTTATCATTTAATTCTTTATATTTTAATGTTAATTCATGTTTTAATTTGGACATATCTTGTTCATAATCAAATAGAGTTTTATTTCTTGAATCAATTAATTCCATTGTTTCAAGTAGTTTTGTTTCAAGTAAATGTGAACGTTTTTCTAAATCAAAATATAATTTATTTTTTTCATCATAATGATATTTCAATGTTGATGTTTCGCGTTTCACGACTTCTAATTGAACAATTGTTGATTGATGTTGATCTTTTAAAGTTTTTAATTCAGTATCCAACGTGGTATATTTCGTTTTTTTAGATAATAAGTATTCTTGACACAAACGATATTCACATTCTTTCTTATGAATCTAAAGTAATAGACAAAAGTTTCGGCAATTTTGTTTTTCACGATTCTCTCTTTAACTATAATACTTAGACCACAGACAAAAACTGATCTGGGTAGCCAAAAGAATCTTTAATCAGATGAAATATATCTAAAAATTCAATCCAAATTTCTGTAGGCTGTACTTCAGACATTTCTGAAAAACCAAGGTTCTAGAAAAGTCTAAAAAATCAAGTCTCATGATTCCAATGGAAACTTTTTATGAGCAGATTAGTCGTGTAGAACAAAGTGCGATGTACACAATGACCATGATTAGATTTTATATATACCTCATCTGATTAAGGGTGCCCAGTACGCATCCCCTCATTCCGTAGAAATGCTGTGAATTAAAAACTAAAACTCACTAAGACTTCATATTTTCAGAACTGATTGAAAACTCAATGGAGCACTTTTTCGTTTTTGTTTCAGGTTTCTGACTATTGCCGTTCACCAGTTTTCCGAAAAGCTCGGTTTTTCATTGTGCCACATTATGACCCTCTTAAATTTCATCCGATTGAGTTAAAAATAGCGCACAGATATAATTTTGGAATTTTCTTTCCGACCTTTCTTTACCGGGTTATAGGAAAAATACTGAAAAATGTCTCAAAACTCAAGTTTTTCAATTTTAGAAACCCTATAACTCGGTAAAGAAAAGTCAAAAATAAAATTCCAAAAATCTGCCCATGTCTTTGAGTACCTCTGATAAAATTTTTAACTCGATTGGATGAAAGTTAAGGGGAGTTATAATGTGGCACAACGAAGCCACGCAGCAAAAAAATAGTTTTCGAGAAAAAACGTATGTTGTACACAGGTTACTTTTTTCAGAGCATTTGCCGCGATGCTTATATCTCCACGAAAACTCATCGAAAAATTCTGTAAAACATCTCATTGTGAAGAAAACACTTTCTTCTATCAGAATACGTATAAGGAAAATTTTGAATATACAGAAAATGAGAGAAAAGTTTATGAAACTAAAAAATTGAGTTTTTTTAGGTTCTAAACGAAAAACTTCAAAAATCTATAACTTTTTGAAAAAAGGTCGTGGAGTAATGGGAGTGGTCTCATTTTGTAGCCCCACACTTTCCTCTACATTAGGCTATGCTCAGCTCAAAATCCGAAATTTTTACAAAAAAAGGTGTAAAAATTTACCCTTAAATAATTAAACTTTTACCCTTAAAGATTCTTTCGGCCATCCAGATCACTTTTTGCCTATGGTTGAGCTATTATTTGGTTAAAGAGAAAACCATGAAAAACAAAATTATCGAAACTGTTGTCTGCCATTTTAAATATCACACATAAACATGTTTGACATTTCATAAACCACTTCGACTAACATCTGTACTCTACCTCATTCGCTCTTTCATCACATAATCTTTTCAATGAACGTATTTCCGAGTGCAATTGATCTGTATCCGTTTCTTTAAATTGAATCTAAAATTAAGATTACGCCTAATGAATATAAAATATCAAGATTTTGACTTACATTCTGAATTTGTTCATCAAGCATCTTTTTTAATGATCGAATTTCCTGCTCCAATTTATTATTAATGGCATCTTTTGTTTTTAACTTCAAAGAAAAATGATAAAAATGAATTTAGATCTTATTTATTTGTTTTTTACTTTATTCTGCCTAAAAACCTACTTCATATGAAATATCATCAAAACGTTTTTTTGTCGAACGTAATTCTTGTTCAAGTTTATCATAATCATTTTTTTGAATAATCTGTGAATCTATGACAGTACTGTTGTTTTTATCCTCGAATATTCGTTTCAAATTTTGTATTTCAAATTCTAAATCGTGAATAAGTGAATCTTTTGCTCGACACTAAAGAAAACA